TACCGTATAGTACTACATATATGAGTAGTACTAGAACACACTCAGGAACACAAAATGGAATGGTGGTTATCACAGCCTGGGGTGATTGGGAAGTGGCTGTTTAGTGGGTGTAGGATTTTATTTTGAGATGATGAAAATATTCTGGAGATTGATAGTGGGGATGGCTGGTTGGACAACAATGAATATACTCAATGCCACTTAAATTTTATATACAAGTTGTGCTTTTTCAGCAGATGGAAAGATGTTTAACCATTAGGCGATATATTTTCAATCTCTTCTAAATAAAACCATTTTAAGGGACATAAAACAATCAACTGAAACCAGGTTTGATAGCACGCATCTGTAATCCCGGCTGCTCTGGAGGCTGAGGCAGGAGGATGGCAAATTCAAGGCCTGCCTGGGCAACTTGGTGAGACTCTGTCTCAAAACAAAAAGATTTGAGGTAGAACACTTGCCTGGTATGCGCAAGACCCTAGGTTTGATTCCCACTACTGCAAAAAAAAAAAAAATTTGTAAATAAATGTAGTTTATTTCTGCATCTCCATTCTATTCCATTGATTTGTGTTTGTCTTTATGCCAGTACCAAACTGTCTTGATTACTATAGGTTTGTAGTAAATTCTGAAATTGGGAAGTGTGAGTCCTTCAGCTTTGTTCTTTTTCAAGATGATTTTGGCTATTCTGGGTCCCTTGCAGTTTCATATCAATTTTAAGATGTTTGTCAGTTTCTACAAAAAAGCCAGCTGAAATTTAATAGGGATTTCACTGAGTCTATAGATCAGTTTGTGGAATATTGTCATCTTAGTAATAAGTTTTGATCTGTAAACGGGCTCTCACCATTTATTTAGCATTTCATTCAACAATATTTTACAGTTTTCACTATATAAATCTGCATTTTCTTGTTAAATTTATCCCTAAGTATTTTATGTATTGATATTATATCCTACAACCTGGCTGGACTCATTTTTTTAATGTATTCTTCAGGATTTTATAACAAAGCTTAAAGTCCTAAAAAATATAATTTAAGGGGTTGGGTTGAGGCTCAGTGTTAGCGTGCTTGCCTAGGATGTGTGAGGCACTGGGTTCGATTCTCAGCACCACATACAAATTGATAAAATAAAGGTCCATCAAAAACTAAAATATATATATATATATATATATATATATATATATATATATATATATATAGTTTAAAAATTCTTGAGGGTAAGTGGGAATCATAAAAAATTTACAGTTGATGGTGCCAATTTAATAAGGAATACCCCCCCCAAAAAAAAACCCATCTTCAGGGCCTTGAGCATGCTAGACAAGCTCTCAACCCCTGAACTACACCCGAGCCCTTCTGTTGTTGTTTTCCGTGAGAGTTAGGCTTGTTAGCCCTGGCTATCTCTGCTCTGCCTTTAGAAAAGAGAAAGAAATAATATAATCAAAACTCATATACCTTTCACTTAGATTTACCAATTTTAATCAGTTTGCCACATCTCCCTTATCAGTTTATCCATATACAAATATGTGTGTATATTTTGTATACAAATTATGTGTACTTTCTTGTTTTTGCTGAAAACTCACCCTAATATATCTTCTAAAAACAAGGACATTATTCTACATTAGTATAATTCCATCATCATGCCATTTTTTTTTCAGTGCTAGGGCTCTACCAGAGACGCATCTCCAGCCCATCATGAAAAATGTCTAAGAAATTCAACAACTGATATGTTACCCAATATGTCAAGCACATAAATTCAAATTTATCCAGTTGTCCCTCATTTCATTTATAAGTATTACCCTTTCAATTCAGAATCCAGTTTAGGATCACATCTTACATTTGGTTGTCATGTCTTTTTAAGTGTGTTTTAATACAGGAGAGTCCCTCCCTCTACCCCTTCTTATTTCGTGACACTGTAATTTATGAAAGGGCAAAGCCAATTATGACGTACAAAGTTCCACAAAGATTTGGATTTGTCTGTTTCCCAATGTTTCAAACATTTTTTTAAAAAATGTGAAATGGAATATTACTCAAGATACTCTGTGAAAAACTATCACAGAGGTGATGTGGTATACTTCCCATTTCCTCAAAATGAGCAGAAGCCTGGTACAGTAGCACACACCTATAATCCCCAGGCACTTGGGAGGCCAAGGTAAGAGGAATGTAAGTTCGAGGTCAGCCTCAGCAATTTAGCAAGGCCCTAAGCAACTTGATGAGACCCTCTCTCAAAAAAAAAAGGGGGGGGGGGGCTGGGGATGTAGTTCAGTAATAAAACACTCCAGGTTCAATCCTCAGTACCAAAAATAGGGGGACCATGCAAGACAGCCTAAAGCCAGGTGGCCAACTGCCCACTACCTCAGTGAAACCCACAGATCTCAAGAGAGATTCTGAGTCTTATGAATGAGAACCTGCTAGTTCAGTTTTGAAGCGTGAAGCCATCTGCTGATTGGGGAGTCACATAGCTTTCCAGTTTATACCACTTTCCATAACACCAGAACCTGTTGAAATTTGATTCATCTACATCATGCCTTTGGCTGGCTGAGACCCATTGTTCCTTATCCTAAGTATCTGACTACATGTGGCAGAGGATTAATTTCTCTATTTAGTTCATTCAACAATGACTCCAGCTTTGTTTTAATAAATCAAGGCTCATAAGGCACAATGCTTGTTTGTGAGGAACCTGAGATTTAGTGGGAAACATGTTCAGAGACAGAGCCGCTAAATTCAGACAATGGGGGTGGGGGGAAGCACACGGCATATGCCTGTAATTCTAGTGACTCAGGAGGCCAAAGCAGAAGGATCAACAGGTTCAAGGCCAGCCTAGGCAACTTAGGGCCCTGTCTCAAAAAATAAAAAGGGTGGGTGGGGGTCGTAGCCCAGTGGTTGAGTGCTTTCCTAACATGTATGAGGCACTGGGTTAGATTATTAGCACCAAATAAAAATAAAATAAAGGTCCATCAACAACTTAAAAAAATAGTAAAAAATAAAAATAAAAAAGGACTTGGGGTGAAGCTCAGTGGTAGAGTGACCCTGGTTTCAATCTCTATTACCAAAAAAAAAAGAGGTGGTGGTAATGGGGAGGGGTTGGCTTTCAACAGGGCCTTAAAATACAGAAGGATGTAGGGAGGTAGGTGGGGATAGAGTAAGAAGGGTGGGTGCATTTTAAGTAGAAAAGTGAAGGAAAATAGCTAGAATCCCCTTTGCACCAGCACAGTGTCCAGTGTTGAGCTGATGATGATTGTCTTGTCATAATGCAAATAAATTTCAAAAGGTCCTAAACATAGTCTCTTCTCCTAAGGACACATGCTTTTGTGTGATGACTGCAGATTAGCTGTGTCCTCCTCAGCTGATCTCTCCCAGGACCATTTGCATTCCAAGACTGATCTGACCTCATCAAGTCAAGAACCACAGTTCTCCCGCTAAAGGAATTTCAAACAGAAGGAACAATTGGAGAGATTTGTATGTGTGTGTATGAAGGGGCCCTCCAGTGAAAGTGCTTGACCTTGAAAATCTTTATCTACAGATAACAAACTTGGCTGGGCAAGATGTTTTTTCAGTTGCAGTCACACTGACAGCTGTACAGTTACCATGTTCCCTGGGCAAATGCCAGCTTAGGGCCCTACACTCCTCCCCCAGCAAGCAGTGATAATCAACTTGGAGTACAAGGGTCTGTACTCCCATGCTCATTAAAATATGCTGCCCCGTTCTTAAAGCCATTCAGGGTGTTGGGGGTGGAGTTGGCACATGCAGGCCCTTTCCTACCTGTTCAAGCTTCTCCTGGGCCCTATCTTCCCTCATCGGGAGGGTCTGGGGACCTTATAGGGGAGGCACTTGCCCTGCCCCAGAGATAGAAGCCCTGAACCAAACACTACTCCACCCTTGTAAGAGACAAGCTGGGGTTTAGGACACAGGTTCTACTCTCTGCCTTATTACCAGTTTTGTGAGCTGGGATGATACCTCTCTGATCCTCAGTTTCTTCATGAGGTATTAGGTCCTCAATTATCTGGAGGGGGCCATCTCAGCTCTTCATAGTCTCTAACAAGTGAATGATATGGAGAAGGGGAAGAGGCAGAAGCTTACAGACAGAATTGAAGGCCAGAGTGGAGGGCAGGAAGGACCAACTTGCCTTCAAGGCCTTAGTTCATAAACAACAATTTCCTCAGGTGACCGAAGATTCCTCAGACACCAGCCTTTTTTTCTAGAAAAAGCCGCAGCTGGATCTGAGTTATCCCTACCTCAACCTCCCTAAAGGGAAGTTTTTTTCCCCCTGGACTCAGATCTTCTCTGGAGCAGGAAAAACAGCACTGAACGCCCCTCATTCGCTCAGGCTGCTGGCTCCAGAACCAGTCAGAATTTTGTGTTTTTGCGTGTTCAGCCATCCAGGTCGTTCACCCCCTTGCTCCCCAACTCAGACGGAACCTCCACGTCCCTCTACAGCTATGCCTCCTCACCCCCTGCCAATTGTACTCCCTTGGTAAACACCCCCCTTCCCCAGCCAAACCCTTCCAGGCCCCTCAGCCATGGACTCTGCAGAAATTGGCACCTGGCTCTCCCCAGAACTCAGCTTCCACACAGCTGTTCATTTTCTCACTCTTCAAGGTCAGACTCAGGGTCACCAGCCTCCCTGATCCCTAAGACCATGCCCACCTTCCTCCTGATTACTGCCATTACATAAAGGCCTTCTCCTCACGCAAACATGCCTAAGTGGCCTTTGGATACTCTGTCCCTTGACCTCATCTCCAAAGACCTTCCTCCCCATTCCATTTCAGTCATACCCTCCCACAGGCAGAACTTTCTGACACCAGGATTCCAGACATTGCACCCCCTTGTCCTAATCTCCCAGCCTCTGGCTAATGACACCCATCACACGAAGGGCTTCCTCATCAGGGCTTCGAACCCATTCACTTCTCCATTTTCTCTGTCACCAGCCCCCTTTGGCCTCAATGTCTTCCTAACTAGCTTGAATTGCATGCTCCATCACTTCAACCACCCTCCTGTTCAACTCCCTCAAATCACCTTTGTTTTCCTGAACCTCTTCTGGATGAGTCCAACTCCCTTTTGCTGAGCTGACCTCGCAATGAAGAAAAGCACAGCCTAGGGGCTGGGGATGTGGCTCAGACGGTAGTGCGCTCGCCTGGCATGCGCGGAGCACTGGGTTCGATCCTCAACACCACATAAAAATAAAATAAAGATGTTGTGTCCACCGAAAACTAAAAAATAAATATTAAAAAAAATTTAAAAAAAAAAAAAAAAAAAAAAGCACAGCCTAGGAGAATGGGGCCTACAGGTCAAGGACCACCCACCTCAGCACTGCCAAACATCCCTCTATCCATGGGGCACACAAACCACCTAAACCGAACCCTAATCCTTCCTCTACCTTCTTGGAAGCCTTAGGCCATATTTTCTACTCTTTTTTCCTCTGACCATAAACTTTAAACACCTTCTTTTGAGGATCTGTCCTCCACTTTATGACACTTTCTGCCTCCATTTCCCTAACTTCCTTATTCCTTGCTACTCTGCCATCTGCCACCCTGCCCCCACAACTGTTCTCAACAGGGCCACTGGTGGGTACCACCCCAGGTGGCCCTGACCCAGGTGACCCTCCCTTCTCCCTGTGATGTCATACTCCTCCTTGCCCACCTTCATCTCAGACTCCTGAGGTTGGAGCTTTAGGATCTCCTCTAGGCTTTCTCCTCAAAAATTTGACTCCCATCAAACGCTGATGTTTCACAAGTCTAGTCTCCAACAGGTTCATCCAACGGCCTATTAGCATCCACCAGATGTTGCAGAGACTGCTCAGTGTCAACAAGGCCAAAACTGAATCATCTTCCCTTGAACTCACTTCCCCTATGTCCCCTCTTCTCAGTGAATGGCAACCCCATCCATCCTGTTCCAACCTGACCTGGGTTCTGCATAAAAAATCAATATTTGCTCAGTGAGCAATGAATCTACTCTTTCTCCTCTATAGACAGATCTTTCCTCATTCTCCACAGCCAATCACCAAGTCCTGTCCATTCTACCTCCTGAGGTTACTTCCTATGCATCCTTCTCAAGTTTCCCTGGACCCCCAACCCGGCCGGACAGGGATCTTGCGGAGAGCGCCATCGCACAAGCCCGGCCTGCCCCGCTCTGCCACCCGCACTGTGCACTGGCAGCTCCAGTCCACACGCTCCGTGGCCCAGCACTTAACAGGTGCTGGTAAAAACGACTGAGCTCAGCGGGCGAATGGAATCTTGAAGGAAAGTTACCAAAGCGGGCAGCCCCTTGCAACTACGACCCGCACCGAGACACCAGGCGTCTCCTGGCAACCAGACTCCCGCGCGCCCACTTAGGTGTTGGGCAAGAGCCCCGCCCCTCTCACGCGGCGCTCCCGGCAACCAATGGAAACCGTCTGCGGGGCGCCTTCTCTCAAGCTATACGCGGAGAAGCCAATAGCACACCGCAGAGAGTCCCGCTTCCTGTAGGCGCGCCTCGCCTGCTTCTCCACCAGCCAATGAGAACAGTCGGCATGCCCTTCAAGGGGGCGGAGCTACCGCTGCGGCCCGGGATCCCTCCGCCGCTGCACGGCGCGGGCCTTCTTCCCAGCTCTGCCGGTCCGGACCCAGAGAACCTCGGCCCCCGGCCCGTCCACAGTAAGGGGACTATGATCGTCAAGCGCAGCCTTGACTTTCTGCTGGGCTTCTACTTTCTCTCCCACATCCCCATCACCCTGTTTTTGGACCTGCAGGTGGTGCTGCCGCGACAATTATACTCGGTCAAGGTGAGGAGTGTCCCGTGGTTCCCCGCCCGCTGGCCCCTCGAGTTCGAGACCCCTCGGTGCGCTGTGGGTGTCCCCTGGCGTCCCATAGAACCTCTTCTGGCCGGGCGCGGTGGCGCACGCCTGTAATCCCTCAGGCTCGGGAGGCTGAGGCTGGAGGATCGCGAGTTCAAAGCCAGCCTCAGCAATGGCGAGGCGCTAAGCAACTCAGTGAAAGCCTGTCTCTAAACAAAATACAAAATAGAGTTGGGGAAGAGGCTCAGTGGTCAAGTGCCCCTGAGTTAAACCCCAAATACTCAGGGAGACCCTGTCTCTAAATAAAATGCAAAATAGGGCTGGGAAGGTGGCTCAGTCGAGGGTCCCTGAGTTCAATCCCCGGCACACACACACACACCCCCAACACCAAAAAATAACCAAAAGAACCTCCTCTGACACGTTTCTCCTTCCCGCCTTCTTTGGGACCTGCCAGTGACCGACACACTTCTTACCTGACTTCCATTCTGCGTCTTCCTGGCTTTTTGTTCATCTGCCCCAGTCCCTTCTCCCACATTGCAAGGTACAAACGTTTTGTTTGTTCCCTGAGTATGTGTAATGCTGCATAGTTTCACCTGTGGTCAGTTGTCAGTGTTTGAGGGAAGTAGTTTGAATGAACCACTCTCAACACCTGTTGGATTCAAAGTTGTGGTTTTCTTTCCGAGCGCGGTGGCGCTCGCCTGTAATCTCAGCAGCTCCGGAGGCTGAGTCAGGAGGCTCCGGAGTTCAAAACCAGCCTCTGTAATTTAGCGAGCCCCTAAGCGACTCAGCGATCCTGCCTCAAAATAGAAAATAAAAAGGGGCTAGGAATGTAGCTCAATGTAGAGCGCCCTTGGATTCAATTTCCAATACCAAAAAAACCCGAAGCTCAAGAATAAATAAATTACCAGCCGCGGGCATTGGCGCACGCCTGTCATCTCAGCGGTTCGGGAGGCTGAGGCAGGAGGATCATGAGTTTAAAGCCAGCCTCAGCAATGGCGAGGCGCTAAGCAACTCAGGGAAACCCTGTCTCTAAACAAAATACAAAATAGAGTTGGGGAAGAGGCTCAGTGGTCAAGTGCCCCTGAGTTAAACCCCAAATACAAAAAAAAAAAAAAAAAGGTAAATAAATTATCAACACCTTTCACACTGCCATTATACTTGGGTTTGAGTAAGAATGATCACCTGAGTGAAATGTCACATCCCTACCCCAACCCCCCTCCACCCACCTTCCCCTTTCCTGGCTATTGGAGAATCTTTTTTGCTTTTAAAGTATTCAGAGCTACACTTGGTTTTTTGTTTTTTTTGTTTTTTTTTTTTTTAGAGAGAGTGAGAGAGAAAGAGAGAGAGAAATTTTTTTTAATATTTATTTTTTAGTTTTCGGGGGACACAACATCCTTGTTTGTATGTGGTGCTGAGGATCGAACCCGGGCCGCACGCATGCCAGGTGAGCGCGCTACCGCTTGAGCCTCATCCCCAGCCCCTACACTTGGTTTTTTGTTTGTTTTCTTATCTGAGTTTTTGTTTTGTTTTTCCTTTATCTTGGCCATGTAACCTCCTTCTGCGAAATTCCTGCCCTCAATTCTGTGTTTCTCCAAACTTTTGATAGAACAGGGCGAGACTGACTCCACTACCCAAAGACTTGATTTTTCCTTTCCTTTCCAGGAGCATTTTACCTCTGAGCTACAAAGTCCCAGTCCTCCTTTCTCCACCCACCTATCCCTGCTTTTTTTTTTTTTTTTTTTTTTGAGGCAGAGTCCGAGTTGTCCAGGCTTGCCTAAGACTTTAGACTTGAGATCCTCCTGCCTCCAGAGTCACTGGGATAACAGTCATGTGCCACCATTCCCCACCTAAAGATTTGATTTTTGCCTCACTTTCTCCTGAACTGCTTTTTCTCTGCAGATCAACTAGTTGTCTTTGGTGCTGGAGATTTGGGGTTTGAATTCAGGCATGCTTTACCTAAGAGCTACATGCCCAGTCCTTTCTTTTGAGACAAGCTCACTAAATTACTGAGGCTGGCCTTCAACTTGTGATGATCCTGCCTCAGCCTCCTCAGTTGCTGGGATTACAGGTGTGTGCTGCCATGCCCAGTTTGTGAAGCAGTTTTGGTTTTTTGTTTTTTTCTTTTTTCTTTTTATTTATTTTTATGTGGTACTAAGGATCGAACCCAGTGTCACACATGCTAGGCAAGCGCTCTACCACTGAGCCACAACTCCATTCCCTGCAAAGCAATTCTTCATCTGAACTCCTTGAGCTTGCAGTAGTGTACACAAAATTGCATGTGCCCTGTGTTTCCTAGAAGAGTCAACTTTTCCAGGGTCAAACCCTCCCAAAAAGGTTAGAACTCAAAAGTATACCAACTCCCATAAGTCTCCTTTTTGCTCACTTTTAGAACTAAGCATAACTGGGAAGACTTCTGACCTCATTTCCATGGGAAAAGCGCAGGCGGGTATGTAGCAAGAGCATTGTGCTACACTCTGGTTACCCCGTTCTTCAGAAACTAGCCAAGTGGGTGAGTCCCCTGACTCACCTGTAGCCTCTGCTTTTAAATAGGAGTTTAAATTATAAGCTCAAACATACATAAGTTGTAAGTTTAGGGATGGAGCTTGATGGTACAGCACTCACCTAGTACACAGACCCTGAATTTGATCCCCACATGTGCATACATTGTAGTAATTTCCTACTGCTACTTGAACAAATAATCACAAACTGGTTCCTTTCAGATTTATTCTTTCACAGTTCTGGAGGTTAGAAGTTCAAAATGAATCTTAAAGGATGTCTTTAGCACTGGTTCCTTCCCGAGGTTCTATGGGAGAATGGTGTTCCTCATTTTGTGGCCACACCACATTAATCTCTTCTTCAGATCACCCCATTGCCACTTTCTTTTATTTGGTCAAATCTCCCTCTGCCTTACTTTTATGAGGTTACTTGTATTGCCTTATCTATGGTTTTTGAAACCTGTGTGGCCACAATTCAGGCCGGCTGCCTATTTATAATTTCTCAATATAATAGATAGGTCCCTTAAATACTTAGGAATTGACATGTTACTCCACGTAGCCATTCCTGACTTAGGAGCCTGTGGTTTATCCTTTCTGCCATTCCCCATCCTTGCTCACCACTTACAAAATACTACTAAAATGTGCCCAGCATCATGAAGACCCCATTTAAACGTGTGTCTTTGGTTGGGCAGAATATACTCCGCTTTGGATCTGGGAGTTTAGCTCAGTGGTAAACTAAAAACCAAGTAACCAGCACCTCGCATGTACAAGGCCCTGGGCTTGATACCCAGCATCGAAAATAAAAAGATTTGAAAAGGCTAATAACCAATGCAGATAGGATCTGGCTAGAAACTATGTAATTATTTCTTGTTGGTTTCAATCAAATCACTTGGAAAAACTCCTTCTTTATTATGAAACAGTAGAAGAACTTAGTATTGGTTAACACATGGGAAGCATTTTGTAGTATCCTTTGCCGCTAGATAAAATGTTTCTGTTAAAATGAAAACAGGTAGGTGTCTGTCCTTGTTCAGAATTAGAGAAATACAAGATTTCACAGCAAACTTTGGCTTAGAAAGCCATGAGTGCAGGCCCCATGAATCTTTTTGTGGTGCTAGGGCTGAAACCCAGGGCCTCACACCTGCTAGACAAGTACACTACTGCTGAGCTACAGCCCAGCCCGGTGAATTTTCATGGATATCAGTGATGACTTGAGTCAAATGTAAGTCAGCTATAAATGGAAACAATTTTTTAAAATATTTTCTTTAGTTGTAGTTGGACACAATACCTTTATTTTATTTATTTATTTTTACGTGGTGCTGAGGATCGAACCCAGCGCCTTGCACATGCTAGGCGAGTGCTCCACTGCTGAGCCCCAGCCCAAATGGAAACAATTTTATCACATTCTTTTGGGGAGAGGGATCTTAAGTAATATGTAATTATTAATGACCAGTTAGTTGCATGCCAAGATTTTTTTTGGGGGGGGAGGGGTTACCAGGGATCAAACTCAAGGACACTCAGCCACTGAGCCACATCCCCAGCCCTATTTTGTATTTTCTTTAGAGACAGGGTCTCGTCTCACTCTGAGTTGCTTAGCACCTTGCCATTGCTGAGGCTGGCTTTGAACTCACGAACCTCCTGTCTCAGCCTCCCAAGCCTCTGAGATTACAGGCATGCGCCACCGCACTTGGAAAATGCCATGCCAAGATTTTTATTAGAATTAACTTGAACATCCCCAGATATATATTAATTACATCCAGTCAAGTAATTTTAGGTGCTAGCAATTGTTCTAAAGATGACAAGTGTTGCCACAGTAATATTGGCCCTATTTTATCAATGGGGAAATACGGAGTGCACTTAAGGGTCTTGTCCAGAGCCAGGACTCAGCCAAGAGCTCTGCCTCTGGCTCCATGCCACTCTGCCGGGGGCCTGGATCTTGTCTTCTGCCTACCCTTTGTTCAGCTCATGTTATGGCATCAGGTGGTTGGTTTTTGCCTGTGGGCAGTGGTTCCTAATTACTAGGGGAGTGAAGTGACTAGATTTTTTTTTAATAGTTATTTTTTAGTTGTAGTTGGACACAATACCTTTATTTTATTTATTTTTATGTGGTGCTGAGGATCGAACCCAAGGCCTCACATGTGCTAAGCAAGCGCTCTACTGCTGAGCCACAACCCCAGCCCCAAGTGACTAGATTTTTAAGTTTTGCTAATCTCATCCTGCAGCCTAGTGCCCTAATAAGCCGACCTTGATTTATGAAATAGGTGAATCGAAGATAAAGTTCAAGTGGACCAGAATGCCTTTCAAGTTCTGTGCTAAATCTTTGTTTTGTTTTTGTAATACTGGGGATTGAGCTTAGGTTGTGTATTTTTTGTTGTTTTGGTTGGTGGTTGTTGGGGTTTTGTTTTGTTGTTGCTTTTGTTTGGACAGGACCTTGCTAAATTGCTGAGATTCAAACTTGCAATCCTCCTGCCTTAGCCTCCCAAGTCACTAGGATTACATGCATGTGTCACCATATGCCGCTGCAGTAAATTTTTTTTTGCTTTCCTTTTTTTCCCCACGTTTTTTACTAGTGCATCATAGTTGTACATAATGCAGTAAATATTTTAAAGCACATAGTTTTCCCTAATACTTTTTAAAATAAATCTAAAAACAAAAAAATCATAAATCACTTAGTTCAACTTGCTCATTTTACAGATAAGGAAACAGAGCCCTGAAGAGGAGCAAAAACTTACTCCTTTTGAGTTTTCCTACCACATTACTATCCTGAAAGTGCTTAGGAGGTGGCAGAGGGCACTACCTTGCCATGAATTCAGAGTTCACATTAAGAACAGACTAGAGGGGCTGGGGATGTGGCTCAAGCGGTAGTGTGCTCGCCTGGCATGCATGGGGCCAAGGTTCGATCCTCAGCACCACATACAAACAAAGATGTTGTGTCCACTGAAAACTAAAGAATAAATTAAAAATTAAAAAACAAACAAAAAAAAAAACTAGAGATCATTGGTCAATAGACTAGTCAACAGAACCTTTCTCAAATTAATATTGTGCCAATAGAATATTTGTTTCTGGATGTTTACCTCTATTTCATAATAGTGAACCTTTATCTTTTGATTAAATATTAACAGGAGAAAGGTCCTTGAATTTTCTAATGTAAGATAAAATTCTTAACCTTGGAGTTGCTTTATATTTTGGGAGGTGAGGGGCAGGAGAGGTTCTGGGGATTGAACCACCCAGCTACAACCTCAGCTGTTTTTATTTGAGACAGGGTCTTGGCTGAGTTGCTGAGGCTGGTCTCAAATTTGTAGTCCTCCTGCCTTGGTCTTCCAAGTTGCTGAGATTGCAGACAGTGCCCAGTTGATGGAGTTGCCTTCATTCATAATATCAAGACACTGTTTGGCTTTGAAACATGTGTTGGGACAGTGCCACCTCCTGGAAGCTAACTGTGATAGACCTTGGTAGTAAACCCAAGCCTCTAGGCTTTAGGCTCCTGTAAAACACAGTGGGCATCTCAGACTCTACTGCTTCCTTCCTCTGCCTATGGCCACTTCAGCATGGATCTGCTTCCCCTTATTTGATTATAAGGGTGGGGCCCAAACGAGAGCTGAGACCACTAAGTCAAGCCTTGACAACCTAGCAGCTATATGGTTTGAGGCAGTTCATTCATCTACAAATATCCTACTGGTCTTCTCAAAGAAAAAAAAAAATGGGGAGGGGGGCTAAAGTTAAAAACAATGAGGAACTTACTTGTGATATTAAAGTATCCAAATTTACATCTCCACGTAGGTTAGATTTATCCTCTCCCCTCTCACAACCACCTTCCTCCACCAAAAAAAGAAAAGAAAGAAATAGAAATTCAACTTATTTCTGCATTGAGGGAATCTGCCATTTGAAGTTGGGTGTAGTTATTGTGAAAGGGAAAATGTAGGATGATTTTCACATTTCTTGTTTCCTTACAAAAAAAGGATGTCAGCAGAAATGTCATTTTCCTTTAGCAAACATCCTGAGAGCCTACTGTGTGTCAGCCGTCTGTTGTTCTTGACAGTGGGCAACATAATCTGAACTTGTGTTGTTATGGAGTTCTTAAATTCTGGGTAGCATAAAGAAGGGACTGGAAGAGTTGAGGAAAAACTTCGCAGAGAGGGTAACATTTGAGTTAGAGCTAGACTATGATACAGAAGCCAGCTGGTATGCCACCTGCCACCAAAAGGACTGGACAGTAAAAGACTACCAGTTATCCCTAAATGAACTGAAGATGCTGAACAAGCCAAGTGCTGTAATTCCCCATGATTATCATCTTGTTTTCAGCTCAGAAACCTGCTGGCTTGGTATGCTGAAGAGTTCAAAGACCCTCTGATACAGAGCACCCCAGTGTGGTTCAAGTCCTTCGTGTTTTGTGAGCTTTTGTTTCAGCTGCCCTTCTTTCCCGCTGCAACATATGCCTTCTTCAAAGGTTGGTAAATGGTGGGGAAAATCTCCTTTTTTCTCAGAAAGCAAGCCCCAGAAATTTTTTGAGAAAGTATCTCCAAGATAGAGGGGCATAGTCCCTGAAGTTTGCACAAGGGCCCCATAGGATCTGGTGGAAGCAATCAGGATAAACTGGTAAAGAGACATTAATTTGGCTCAGACCATCTGGTCAACTGAGGCACATGGCTACCTCAGTTATCTGGAAATCTCTCCCATTACATTTAGAGATTGAATTTGTCATCCCCTGACCCCACCATTGAGTCTCTCAACCATTGGCTTTACTGCTCTACTTTGAATAGTATCATACTGACCTACAAGCAGTAGCATCAAGTGAATTCATAAAAGGCTTAACTTCTCATTTAAAAATTATTCTTACATGTTCTTATATAATTAATGCCCTTATAAATAAGAGGCCATACCTCTGTCCTTAGTAACTAAGCTCATACAGCTGAAAGTGCCTACTGGAGTTTACCAGAGGCACTGGATCCAACTGTAGGCCTCTTGCCTATATATGATGACTTCACAGGCGGGTGCTGGGACAGGGATGTACCTCCCTTTGCATTTTAGACCAAATGGATAATGGGAGTTTTACTATCCTAGAGTTCTGCTGAGTTATATTCTGACCCTCACTCTTGATTTCTCTGGCAAGTCAGTGAGCTAGGGTCCTAGCTCTCAACTAAGTTTATGTGTTGGATAGTGTAACATCCAGTTTTCCATTTTTTTCTGAGTTTCTACCTGGAGAAAAGCACAGAAAGGGAACAGGCCAGCAGAGACAGGGCAAAGAACATCTCAGATGTCCCAGAAGCCATACACAGATCTAACCATCCTTTTCTCTTTCTTTGCTTCAGGAAATTGCAAGTGGATCCGTATGCCTGCAATCATCTACTCAGTTCACACCCTGACAACATTAATTCCAATTCTCTCCACATTTCTATTTGGGGATTTCTCAAAAGCCAGTGGTTTCAAAGGAGTAGGTCCTGAGAGTTTTCATGAACGAATAACCCTCATGGCCATCTATGCCCCCTACTTTATCGTTCCCTTCATACTTCTGTTGTTCATGTTGAAGAACCCCTACCGCGAGGAGAAAAGAAAGAAAAAATGAGGGAAACAATCACTGACCCAGGAAGAGACATTCACAGGGCAGTTGCCCCTTTTGACCCAATACAAGAAAAACTACTCTGAACCCATGTCTTCAGTAGCATTTGAAACACGAACAGCAGTACTTAAGAGCAAGATGGTGGCAGGAGCCACGTCAAACCTTTATCTTCCAAGGGATGAACAGATCCATCAGCAGGGGTGGCAGGCAAAGGAGAGTGGGCTGTCGTTGAAAAGTCGTGCCAAATACCTTATCATGTGCCCAAGTTCCATTGCAGGATTTCTAAGAGCAGGATCAGACCAGAAACTGAGTAAGCTCCCTCAAAACATGGCCTCCTTGACTCATTCATGAGGCATCTGACCCACAGCATATACACATGACTGAACCTTTGACTCATGATTCACTGTAGCCTATCAATCACCAATCCAAAAATAGTGGAGTGTTTCAGACCATTCAAATTAGAAATTGTGCCTCCTTAATATTCATTAAAAACCATGTTTTCTTGGCCCTACCTCTACCCCTGGGAGAAAAAAGGGAAAATATTATGTAGAAGAGGTTTTCCTAAGGTTCAGCCTCAGCATGATTTGTCAATCAAACAGGTTAGACTGGAAGGTGTTTGTTTCTTAAACAGGTCATCCCAAGAGATTTTAAGTCACCTTGTTCATCTTATTTCCAAATCTTAGACATGTATATTTTTAAAGACCACCTGGGACAGTTCCCTTCATTCTGAAGTCTGGCATCTAAGGACTGTTCTGGAAGTGTGCTCCCTAATGGACAGCTTCATCCTTCCTAATACAGTATGGTCATTCCTACCCTGTTTAGGGCTGGGGATAGTTGGGTGTGACAAGCCCAACGTGTGCACGTCAGGTCTCTTCACATTAATGCTCAGCATTCCATCAGGGTTCTCTAAATCTACTTGAGGCCAACACTAAAGAGGGTAAACGAAAAGTCCTGGTCAACTCTTTTTGTCTTTTTTGTTCACAAGTCATACTGGTCTGACTGTTGGTACTGACTCTGGTAAGACTGGTCCAAATAAAGGCAGCTGCTGACCACTGCCTGATGTGTTTTGTGGACTGGGAATTGAGCATCCAGGGTTCTCTCACAAGGGGTGAAAAAGGCAACTAAGCCATTTGAAAACAATAGTTTATTGCTTTTTTTTCCCAAAGCTTTGTAAGTTTACAAAAAAGAGGATCAAAGTTTACAGGCTGCTTCATTCCTACTAAGAATGTAAGAGGTGAGAACCTGCCCAGCATGGCCACTGGCAGTAGCTGTTCACTCACTCCAGTCCTACCCCTGGACTGCATTACTGCCTTCAGAGGGCTGTGTTCCTTGCACACTGTCATGACGTAGGTCATTAGTCAAGTCACTGGAATGGTACAGAGGTTTTTTGGTTTGGGGGCTTTTTTGCCTTCCTGGTATAAATGAAATTTTCAGTTCATTTCTGAAAAATAAATTGGTCAATAAATTCATTTTGTTCTGCTTCTACTTTACACAAAGCTTCATATTCAACCCGATACCTGAAAAACAAAATTATTAGAAGCCCTGAAAAAGATGAAATAAACTACAGACTTAAGTCTTCTAGAGAAGACTACAGAGGTTTAAATGATTCTAAGAAATGGTGAGTTCAGAAGGAAGTTAGGGCAAGAAAGAAAAACAGGCAAAGTCCTACCCATAGGAAATCTCCAAGGCTGGGTTGTGGCTCATGGGGAGCACTTGCTTCACATGTGTGAGGCCCTGGATTTATTTGATCCTTAATACCAGATAAAAATAAATAAGGGCAGGGTTGTGGCTCAGTGGTAGAGTGCTTGCCTAGCACATGTAAAGCACTGGGTTCAATCCTCAGTACCTCATAAAAATGAATAAAATAAAGCTATTTAAAAAATAAAAGGCAGGACTGAGGCTTTAGCTCAGTGATAAAGCGCTTGCCTCACATGTGAGGCACTGGGTTCGATCCTCAGCACCACATGAAAATAAAGATACTGTGTGTTCATCTACAACTAAATAAATATTTTAAAAATAAAAGGCATGCTATCCATCTACAACTACCAAAAAAAAACCCTCCACCCCTAACAAAGTTACCTCTGGGAGCCAGCCAACTGGCCCCTTGCTATCTGAATTTTCATACTCAAACCTGGTCAAGGATGTTATAAAACCAATTTTCTGTTTTCTTCCCATCAAATGTAATTTTTTTTAATTTTAATATTTATTTTTTTTTAGTTATTGGCAGACACAACATCTTTGTATGTGGTGCTGAGGATCAAACCCGGGCCGCACGCATGCAAGGCGAGTGTGCTACCGCTTGAGCCACATCCCCAGCCAAATGTAATTTTTAAAAATTCTTCAAATCGGGTTGACTAGTGCAATGCTATTCCTGGGGAAATGATAATGAAGATGATCAAGAAGGAAAATAGAATCTAAGTGGAATGAAGAACCTGCTTCACATCATGGCTTCTTACCTTTCTAGCTGCATTTTCTTTTCTGCTATCAGTGCTTGAAGTTGCTGCTGTTGGGCTTCTCTCTGCTTTGCTATGGATTTGAGCAAGTTCCGAGCACCAATGGCCTAAGAAACAGAATCACCAAAGTTCGTGGCTTCATTAAAAATCTATAGCAGGAAGTCCTCAAAATAGGGGTGGGCCATCAGGAGTTATTTCAGTGCCCAGAGGGGAAAAGAAAGTGGCACACCAGGGCTTGGGGATAAGCCAAAAAGATGATTAACCTACCAATCAGAGTGCCTGGGGAGAACTGGCCTATAGCTAGGAGGAGACAAGTCCAGAGCTCTTCCCAGAGCCCTGCCTGCAGGTACTGAATGGCTGGCTGGCGGTGCCCTTCAGCCTCATGCCCTTTAAGTTATCTGCACCATGTAAGTCTTCATTTTTCCATGTATATAACATAAAACCTGGGGCTGGGGCTGTAGCTCAGTGGTAGAGCGCTCGCCTAGCATGCATGAGGCACTGGGTTTGAGCCTTAGCACCACATAAAAATAAAAAGGCATTCTGTCCATCTACAACTACAAAAAAAATTAAAAAAAAAAAAAAAAAAACTCAGTGCTGATGTGAAGATCAAAGTAATAAAAGTATCCTGACATATAAGCTCAGAAGGTTAACTGGACCCTAAATTGTTACAAAAATCTTGTTTTGACTTGGAATTGGACCACCATTTGGCTCTGTTATCCCATTCCTTGGCATATACCCAAAAGGACTTAAAATCAGCATTCTCTAGTGATATGGCCACATCAAGGTTTGTAGCAGCTCAATTCATAATAGCTAAGCTATGGAACCAACCTAGGTGCCCTTCAACAGATGAATGGATATAGAAAATGTGGTACATGTACACAATGGAATATTACTCAGCCATAAGAATGAAATTATGGCATTTAACAGTAAATGGATGGAACTGGAGACTATCATGCTAAGTGAAATAAGCCAATCCCAAAAAACCAAAGACCAAATGTTCTCTCTGATGTGCAGATACTAATTAAGAGTGGGGGGTTAGATTAGACAAAGGAAAATGAAGGGAAGGGAGGGGAGATGGCAATAAGAAAGAATGAACTGGACATAACTTTCCTATGTTCATATATGAATACACAATCAGTGTAACTCCACATCGTGTACAACCACAAGAATGGGAAGTTATACACCATGTAACATGATATGTCAAAATACATTCTACTGTCATGTGTAAGAAGAATAAACAATTTTTAAAGAATCTTATTATGATTAAAAGAACCCACTCATTCTCCCCCAAAAATGAAGAGAGCAGAGATTAAGAGAGTAGAGAATCAGCGCCCTGGGCCAGGCCAGAAGCATGCTGAGCTTACCTTCATTTTTTCATTTTCTGCTTCTTTTGCAAGTTGGTCAACAAGCTCAATTAGACCACCAACTATTTTCTGAAACTGGCCAATTTCTTTTGGAGAAAGAACAAAAAATATCTTATTTTCTCAGTACCATCACTCTCTCTCAGCACCCCCCTGAAGCAGTGAGGGCAGAGCTGAATGCCCCTTTTAATCTATGTCAAAAACAGTTTGGTGCCTGCTGGTGCAAGTCTCCCACCCTTGGTCTGAACCTAGAGAAAGGTGGCCAGGGGCCCAGTGTTGGACCAGGGAATACCTAGACCTTGAGTTACCACCAAGCCAGCCACCTGCTGCTACTCCAGGCTACAAAGGCAGCAGGCTCCTGATGGTCCACCTGGAGGACCCAATTCCCCAAGAGTGACAAGAAGCACAAAGCACAATTCCCAAAAAAACTGTTTCAGAACACCAGTGCTACCTCTGGACTAGCCACACATACCCTAGATTTCAGTCAATGGTGGGGTGGGACCTTCCCACCAATAACCAGAGCCAAGTAAAGAGCTCACAGCATTTAAGTACTTAATCTCCCACTCACTTTTTTCAACATCCTTGGTATGCTGGAACCCCATTTTACTAGGGGAAAAAAGAGGTGAGACAATAGCATGCACATAGCAACCACAGACTGGCAATGAAACCCAAGCAACTTTCACCAGCTAAACTCTCTTCACAGCATAGGGAGGTCCAGAGGCTCAGAAATCCCTTGCTCCAGCTAATCTGGCTCTCTTCATCAGCACTGGGCTTGCTTGGCTGCTGGGACAGGAGATTCTAAAATCTGTAGCTCAAACATAACTTCATTAAGTCTGTTGAGCTGCCTCTGGAGACTTCAGTTAGCACCTCTCACTCCAAATAATGGAGCGCCTACCACTGAGAACACTTTCTATCAAGAAATCAAATAATGCATAATTCCCATTTTCCACCCCAAAGCCCTGGTTCTGCCCCATGAAGATTAAGGTTTTTGAGAGAGAGAAAAAAAAAAAATCACAGATGGCATGTCAAAAAACACCCTCCTCTCCCAATGTGCTCAATACAGGATGACATGACAAGTATAAGAAGACAGCAGGGGGCTGGGGCTCGTTGGTAGAGCACTTGCCTAGCATGTGTGAGGCACTGGGTTCAGTCCTTGGCACCAGATGAAAATCTTAAAAAATTTTTCTTTTTTTAAATAATAATAAGATGACAGCAGGTACATGAAGATTCAAAGCCAGGACCATTCTTGCAGCCAGGAGAAAGAGTGGGGTACAAATCCTACAGTGGGGTGCTGCTCAAAGATGAATAGTACTGTGTCTCCCCAAGTGATACTCACTGTCCACAAACTCCTTGCACTCTTCCTTGAGCTCTATGGTCTGCTGGGTTACCTCAGGGTCCAACACCCGCAACTTGTTCAGCTCATCAAAGTGCAGCCCTGCTTCACCCAGGATGTCCTTGGCCATAGCTACAGAGAAACCAGGCCCAGTCACTTCTCAGCCACTAAGGAAATACCTGCTGCCCGCCCAAGCCCACTCCTGCCCCCAGACACTAATGCCAAAACCCCTGATGTTCCAAAGAATCCCCAATCCCACTGCCTCCACCTCTCAGCCTCACCTGTTTCCCTTCCAGGTTCCCTAGAGAAGTTCTGTTCTGAAGGGGTGACAGTGGCAGAAGAGGTGTGCCATAGGAGCAAGGGTCAGGAAAGAATAAAGTCCAGTTGCTTGTCACAGGCATCGTTCATTCAACACACATTTCTTGAGTGCCTACTACATGCCAAGACTGCTAGATGCTGGGGGTACAGAGCTGAATGCAACATGGTGCCCGCCCTGGAGGAGCACATAGTTCAGCTGGAGGAAGATAGACAGGTAAACTGAAAAATTATGCTGTTAAGTGCTTTACCGAAATATCTCTACAGAACAAGAAGAGAACAGAGCAGTTAACTTGAGTGACATCGGGACTGTTATGAGCCATAAACATATTTATATATCCCCATTTATGTACCAAAAAAGGCTTTTCAAATACATGTTTTGTGTTGTTTATGGAATAACATCAAAAGCAAATTTTTAAAATCTGGGTAAATTAAAAGGGTTAAAAAAAATAAGCTATTTTTTTATGATGCAAGTCACTATACCGTTGCCCGAAATGGGAACCAAAGTTGGGTCAGTCTCTTCCTAGCAGAAAACACAAAAAAGAATGAAGTATCAGCAAGAACGTACCAAGTAAGGAGGCCAGGGAAAGGCATTCCAAGCAGAGAAGGCAGCATGGACACAGGTACAACGTCACTGAAAGGACGAGAAGGAAACTGGAAACTCACCCTCATTCTGGCTCAAAAACCAATTTTTTTAATACTAAAAATAAGTGAAACGTAGATGCTCTGTTCAAAAAGGGAAGTGATGGGAGACTAGCCCAGTGGTAGAGCACCTGTCTAGCAAATGTGGGGCCCTAGGTTCCATTCTCAACATCACACAAAAAAAAAAAGAAAGAAAGAAAAGGAGGAAATGCTAATTAGTTCTAGTCATTGGCTCTAGGCCCATTCCAAAACCCAGGTTTTTCAAAGACTATCATCACCTGTCCCTGCACCACCCCTTTCCTCTGCTCCCATCTCCCCCTGCCGCACCTGTTTCCCTTTCAGCTTTGTTAGAAAAGTTTGTTTCTGAATGGGATGAAATCGGAGAGTGGCTATCAGAAACAGATGTGCCACAGAAAGAGCCATGTTTGGAAAGAATTAAGTCCCTTGGGCTGGAGATGCCTCTCAGGGGCAAAGCGCATGCCCAGCATATGCAAGACCCTGAGTTCAATCCCCAGCACCAAAAAATAAAGAAATAAAAGAATTAAGTCCTACTGTTGCCACAGCACTGTGTGAGCCAACTAATACATGTCTTTGGGCTGTCTATATATGACTCTGGCCTTTGGCTGCACTGGAATCAACTAAAGTGAGTTGATTCTTTCTTTTTAAATGTTTTAATCATTCAAAGCTTCCTTAAATCTGTCTTCCTGCTTGTTCTCTTTACACATTTAGTCGAAGTACTTAACAGTTACCAGGTAATCAATCAGACCAGATGCTCCAGAAAGATCCACATAACTTGATAGAGCAAACAAACACTTACTTCAACTTCCACTACCTTACCTGAGACAGTGCATTTATCCAGAAACTCCTAAGTCCCTGCTCTGGGGATAAAGAGCTGTTGAAAATGTCTCTGGACAGAGAGTGCACTAATCACAAATTATGATAACGGTGTGAGGAAAAGCACATGGTGCTATGTGAAGATGCAGCAGGACATAGCGTGGAGCAGAGGGATGTCAACAAAAGCTTTCTAAAAAAGTGATGTCTAAACTGAGACCTAAAGTCAAAAAGTTTGTGAGATGAAGGCAAGAGGGAGGCAATCTAAGCAGAAGAAAAAGCATATGAGAACATCCTGAGGCTACAAAAAATCCGACACATTCCAAGAACTTAAAGACTAGTGTGATCAAAACAGTGAGCAAGAGAGAGAATGGATCAAGATGAAGCCAAACGAGGAAACCAGTGCTGGATCATGAAGGGCTCCAAAAGCTGCAGTAATGAGCTTGGCACCTGGTGGATTCTCAGCAAAGTGCCATTTTCATTTAGGAAGATCACTGTGACTCAGTCTGGAGACTGGACTGGAGAAAACAAAAGAGTAGGGCCATGCTTACCTGATTCCTCACTGTCACCCTAGCACCTAGCATGGTGCCTGCACATAATTGGCACTCAGTTAATGTTTGTGGAATGAATGTCTGTGGAAAAAGATAGAAGGCTACTGCAAAAACCAAAGCTTGCAGCTGAAGACAAGTGTTCTGAATTGAGATGTTTTCTAAGCTGAACTGATAAGAGAGTAAGGAAGTGAATAAAGGGAGTGAAAAAGTCAGGCATGATTCCCATAAATCTGGCTTGAACCAGTGTATGATTGGAGGGGATAGTTTAAAGAGATGGGTGAGATGGAGTAAGGGACAGAGAGAAGCTTCACGGAGGGCTATCGTATTCTTTCACAACTCACACCACACACGTGTCTGAGTATCTGAGGAACATAAGAGACCTGGGACTGAGCTCCCTAAGGACGAGGACGGTGATACGCTGTCCCCGCGTCCGGGCTCTCCCAGGTCCACGCTAGGCACTACCTACGGGCTCCACCAATGGGCTGTGGAAGAGGCACTGGACAGAAAGTCAGAAAAGGCCCGGGCGAAGGAACTAGCGGTCTTCTCTACGTAAACCCCACGCTGTTTCCGAGCCTCAGTTCCCTGCGGCTATCAACGGGCCACGCTTCAGGCGTCACTTGGGTGTGAAACCGCTCCCTAAGAGTCTGGCGGAATTCCCACGTTCCTTTCCGCCCGGGTCTGCCTTTTCTTAAGGCGGGGGCCTGTCAGATTCCTCTAGCCCCCGGTCCGCCTGCGTACCCCAACCCAAAATCACCTCTTACCTGCCCGCGCTCTGCGGCCAAGGGTGACGTTGGCAGGCAGCTTCTTCCTCCAGTTACCAGCACTCCGTGCGTAACTCGCTCCCCTCGGCTGCTGCCACGGCTACAAGATCTGTTTACCATAGCGTCACTGCCTGATACCGGAAGCACTTGGCCTCACACATTCCCACAGAGCCTACTGGGAAATACTGCCTACACAACCCAGAAGCCTTTGCGCCAGCGAGGTCGCCGGAAGTAGCTGCGCTCTCACGGCGAGGGCGGGGTGTACGGAAAGCTCGCAGAATTCTGACTCCGCCCCTGATCGGGGGCAGTGCATGCCGGGCCTTGTAGTCTCAGTTTCCCAGATAGGCAGGGATGGGCCGCTGCACCGGGAGGAGTCTGCTGGAGCAGGATGTGAGCTCACAGCCCGGGATTGCTGTTGGGCAGGCGGCTACAAGCTAGGGGCGGCAAGGAGTCGGTTGCCATTCAGCTGAGAGGAAGAAGCGCCCCCGGGGACGGTGAGAGCCTGGCCTGCCGATGCGGTAGGGGAAGGGAAGGGGAGGACTGGCCCCCAGACGGGTCAAGGGAAAAACGGTTGGGACGGCTTAGGGGAGATGGAGAGTTCAAATCCTCCGCTGGGGGGTGGGTGTCTCAGTTTCTCGGTAGAAAGGCAGGGTGCGGGCTGGAGGAGAGCCTGCACTAGCTACAAGAAAGACTGGGCGTCGCTAATTTTTTCCTGGACTCTCTGGGTGAAGCGGCCACTTCACACTTGGAATTTCTGCTTTATCCGCCCTCTCTTGCCAAGCTCGGCTTCCCCTCCCCCGCCGTCCGCCGCGTGTGCCTTCTTCCTTTAGGACCCCATCTTCTTCCACCGCCGCGGTGATTTGTCCTTTGTTCTGCTTGGGTTCCCTTTAGCTTTGCTGAGTGAGACACGTATCCGCCCCTAACCCCAGGCATCCCCAAATATCCACAAACAAGTCCGGAAGGAAGAGCACTGAGACTTTCAGTGGAAACTTCAATCTCACCGGAATTACTTTCTGGGGCGTCACCTGCCACAGGATTCCTGGCACCCGTTGGTCTGGGTGGAATCTGGCATGACGTCATGCAGGGGCTTAAAGCAACTGCTTTGTAGGAAAAGAATAGATTAGCTCTGGATTTGACTTCCTCTCTTTGCAAGCTCAGCCATTGAGTTCCTTTGATTTGGCAGAAGTACATGTGTGTGTGCTTTCTTGGATACTGGGGGTATTGGGACTGGACACAAAATACATGAACTTAATAAAACCTTTAATTTTTCTTTCTTTTTTTTTTTGCGGGGGGGGGGTGTGTGTGCTGGGGATTGAACTCAGGGGCACTTGACCACTGAGCGACATCCCCATCCCTGTTTTGTATTTTATTTAGAGACAGGGTCTCACTGAGTTGCTTAGCGCCTCGCTTTTGCTGAGGCTGGCTTGAACTTGAGATCTTCCTGCCTCAGCCCCCTGAGCTGCTGGGATTACAGGCCTCCCACACCGCGCCTTCCCGGCTAGCTAAAACCTTTTAAAGGGTGGAAGATAAAGTGATTTCATGCCATTCTAGTGTTACTTACTTATTAGACAGCATCCTAGGGTTCATCTCATCCATACCCCATCCCTGAGGCAAACCTCCAAAGGAATTCACTACTTCCGGCAGCACCCACTCTGGCCCCTTCCCTGAACATTCTTCCCACAGACCTATCTAAATCTTTTCAGGGTTAATTTCAGTCTAACAAGCTGACATATATTGAATACTTAAAATGTGCATGGCATTTTTCAGGAAGCAGAACAGTTAACAGAACTTGGGAAAACCAGTACCATGCTTCTAGTGGCATTTATGAGAGATGATGAGCAGCCAAGTGCCGTGCTCACACGTGTAATCCCAGCAGCTTGGGACACTGAGGCAGGAGGATTGCAAATTGGAGGTCAGCCTCAGCAACTTAGTGAGACCCTGTCTCAAAATCAGAAATAAAAAGGGATGGGGATGTAGCTCAGTGGTAGAGTTGCCATTCTCCAAATAAGGAAAGAATGGAAGGAGAGAGGACAGTAATTAATATAAAACCCAAACTCTTTACTGTTATTTACCACCGTAGGTGCCTTCCCAGGCATTCATCGAATCAACTTCCCCTGTTTTCTGTGTGCCAGCTACCATATCCTTATTTCTGTTCCTAAAACTCAATTCAAACAGGAACTTTGTACTTACTCATCCAACTGTCTAAAGTGCTCTTCTCAGACCTTAGCAGAAGTGTTATCTTTCCAGGTGCCTCTAATTAGTGCCTTCCTTGGTCACTCTCTTATCACTGTTTTATTCTCATCTCCTGAACTTGTCTGTTTTCGTGTTTATAATCTGTCTTCTCCCACTTAAATGTAAGCTCCATGAGGACATGACTCTTCTGTATTTGCTTTCTGTTCCCAGTGCCTGGCACATTGCAGAAGCACAGTAAATGCTAACTCAAAACATTTTTAAAAAAAAAATTCTTGCTAACAGTTCTTTGACCTTTTTGAAGGCAAGACAATATATTTGCATAGTTCCTGCCTGAGTCAGCTTTCCACTGCTGGAACAAAATATACATATGAGAAAAACAACTTCGAGGAGGAAAGATTTATTTAGACAGAGGTTTCAGTCCATTATTGGTGAGCTCCGTTGCTTTGGACCTGAGGTGAGGCAGAACATGTGGTGGAAGAAGGTGGTAGAGAAAAGCTGCTCATCCATGGCAGATGGAAGCAGAGAGAGAGAGAGAGCAGGAAGTAGGGGCTGGGGAAGAGAGAGACTCTTCCAAGGAACACCCCCAGTGACTTATTTCCTCTTACTGGCCCCCCTGCCTACAGTTTCCACCACATCCCAATAATGCTATCCAATATGAATCCCTAATGGATTGATAGATTGTTGAAGTAGAAAGTCATGATCTGATCAGTCCCCCAAATCCCCACTTCTGAATGTTGCTGCACTAGGGACCAAGCCTTCAACACATGAGTCTTTAGGGGACACTTCATATCCAAAACAAAAATTTCCTTCTGTTTAACATAGTAAGCACTCAATATTTATATTGCTGAATGGATTAAATGAGCTAAAAATAGATATGAAAATATTAGCATAGAATAGTATCTGGTACATAGTAAATATTTATTCAATGAATGCTAGCTATTGTATTTTTTTCTTCAGTGAATTGGTTATATTGATTCTTTAGATAGCCAAAACATAATACCGTTGCACCTCTGTTGGTTCCAAGACCTCTGCAGATACTGAAATCCAAGGATGCTCCAGTCCCCTTATATAACTGGTATATTACTTGCATATAATTGATGATCATCCTTCTGTATACTTTAAACCTCTATATTGGTTATCATACTTTTAGAATATTGTTTTAGTCAGCTTTTCATCACTACAACCAAAATACCCAACAAGAATAACTTAGAGGAGGAAAAATTTATTGGGACTCAAGGTTTTGGAAGTCTCAGTTAAAGATGGCCAACTCCATGGCTCTGGGCCCAAGAGGAGAGCACATCATGAGGGAAGGACCCAGTGCTGCTCAGCTCACAGCAAGGTTAGAAAGAGACAAAGAGAGGGAAAGGGGAGGGGCCAGGGACAAATGTTCCCTTCCAGGGCACAACCCCAGTGATCCAGCTCCTCCAGCCATACCCCATTGTTACAGCTCTCACAATCTAATCATTTTACCTTTAACATTCCTCATTAACACAGGAACTTTGGGGGGATACCTCATATCCAAACCATAACAAGTATAAATGCCATGTAAGTTGTTGTTATACTATATCAGGGACTAATGGCAAGAACAAAGTCTGCATGTGTCGGTACAAGTGCTATTATTTTTTTCATGTATTTTCAATCCACTGTTAATTGAATCCATGGATTCAGATGGGTTAGAGTACAAATCACAAAAAAAGGGGGGAAAGAGAATGTAAATCATGAGGGTGACCTGGCTTTCCTTACTCCTTGGTTCTGTCAGCTCCAGTTGGTATTCTGTGTGTGTGTGTGTGTGTGTGTGTAAATGGTATCAAACCCAGGGCCTTGTGCATGCAAGGCAAGCACTCTACCAACTGAGGTATATCCCCAGCCCTCCAGTTAGTATTCTAATCCCCACATTACTCAAAAATTTTTAGATTTATCATCTGATCTTTTCTGATACTTTCTCCTCATTCTTCTTTGGAGCAAAAAGAAGAAAAGATAAAACTGGGTTCCTTCTCAGGAAAAAGAAGCAAAAATAGCTATCCTGTAGTTGTTCTGCCTTGGAAAATAGTGGCGATTTCAGGAACTTGGGTCAAGTCTGGTGCCAAGAAAGGGGAAGGCCAGGAAGCCCAGCGGGAGCCCAGGTGACCCTTGCTAAGAACATTGGCTTGCTGCTCCAGACTGGCCCACTCCATCCTCTCCTGAGGACAGGCTCCCTCCTGCCAGTGCTAAACGAAACCCTGGCTAGGTTCCTTCTGAGTCTGGAATCTTGGGAAAGGAAGTGCATCCTGTCCCTTTGGCTCCTGGGAAACTCCTAGACTGGCTGGATTCCTAGTAGGTTGGGCTGAAAGTCTGGTGTCACAGGAAGTTTATAAAGAAAATCTGGAATCTCACTGGTAGATCCCCAGAGCGATCTCTTCCTCAGAGCCTCTGTGTCTAGTTCCAAGGCTTTGCTTGTCTTGCCACCCAGAGCTGAGCTGAGTCTCAGAGGTTAGTGAGGTGAGCAGGATAGGGGTCTGGGAGACTACTCCCAACCTGGCTTCCAGTACAATGAGGAACAGCAGAAAAGTCTTTCCTACTATTGCCTAGGGATGGAGCCTTGCTGGGAATGCCTGGCTTACCAAGGAGGGAATGGCATGGTCAGTGTTCCTTCTGTTAGCCCTCCCTCATTGGAGGACTCTTCTGCTGACTTTCATCTTCTCTCCCATCTCCTGCTCACAGCACTGAGAGTATGAGGCTCTGGCCTCCCCAGGACACTCCCTTGTGAACACTTCCACCACGGCGGAGCCTTCCAAGCCTACCTCCTGCCGTGTGGTGATCTACCTGCAGCGGGAGATGTCGGGGGACACATGTCTATGCCCAGCCTCAGGTGCCAAGCCCAAGCTAAGTGGCTTCAAGGGAGGAGGGCTGGGCAACAAGTACGTGCAGCTCAATGTAGGCGGCTCCCTGTACTACACCACGGTGCGGGCCCTCACCCG